TTATATAAAATGTAACTCAGTTGAAAAAATTGGTTATAGCTTTGTGGAGGTATTAGTTGTCTATCAATGAAAAACACTTCATAAACTTTTAGAAGTGTGGATTATCGACTTCGTCCCACAATTCTACCTTAAGATATTTTAAAATGAGTGTTTCTGAGCTAATGGGTTGAGGTAGCTCCAGAATGATCTTCTGGGTGGAGTTGGTATTTGGTATGGGACTCCCTCCAGGAGATCCACTTAGTGGTATGGCTATCATCGCTGAAACACACTGAGTCCCAACCAGCAAAGGGTATAGCCACGCACCATGTGAAGGTCATGCTTTCAGGCAGAAGGACTGCAGACTAACATGAACCTCTCTGCTGCTGGGATCCAGTGGAGAAATACGCTGAAGCTGGAAAAGGTTGGGCACATTGTTCCAGGAGAGCGTACCTGCTCTCTGTTGTTCTTTTCTAGAGTTGAGTTCTTGAACAAAAAACCACTGACAAACGTTGGAAGGAAAGCAGACCAAGCTCAAGTGGCAGTCTCTCAGGGGAGTTGCAAGGCTGGGATAGCTCATTGCCCAGAAGCCTGTGAGAAACAGCCCTGTCCGCCAGCAGGCCTTCCTGCCAACCTCACGTGAAAGGTATTGTGTGAGGGGCAGGACAAAAACGATGATGGGGATGAGGGTCCCATCTTCTGCAGAAGAGAGCGGACTAATGGTACGTTGCCTGTGCAGATTTAAAATTCTCAACTGTGAGTGCAGCTAGGTTCAAATGGGTTTTCTTAAGGCCCAGGGTAAGCAAGAGATTTGCTAGGCTAGTTCAGAAGTCACGACATGGGAAGTGACTCACTCCCCTCCTGCTATTTTTATATTTTGCAAGTTCTATGTTTTTCTAAACACAGGGTTTTATTCTTTCCACTTAGTCCTTGAAAATCGTAAGAGATGTGCATTAGCTGGAAGTTACGGATTTAGTAACTTGAGGGTTAATTGATCACAGGATATGGCATAAATGAGGAAAAGCTTAAAAACCTATATTCTCTCTCCACATCTATACATGTGATGGGAAATACATTTAGTTTGCTCTAACAAATGATAGTAGGTGCTCCAAACATCTTCTAATTGTTGCCTTCTTTTTTGATCCATGGGTTATTTAGCAGTGAGTTACTAATTTCCAAATATTTGGAGGTTTTTTAGATGTCTTCATGCTATTGGTTTCTAATTTAATTATACTGTCATCAGAGAATATTCCCAGGAGGTTCCTGAGATATCATTTTTGGCTCACCATATGGTTCTTGGTGGATGTTTCATGTGCATTTGAAAGAATCTGTATTCTGAAATTTGTAGTTATTATTAATAGGATGAGTCACATTGTTTGACAGTGTTATTTAAAACTTCCCAATGCTGATCTTATAAAAATTTGGTTGTGCTGTCAGTTACTGAGAGAGGGATGTTAAAATCTCCACCAATGTTTGTGGATTTATCTATTTCCCCCTTAACTCTGTCAGATTTTACTGAGGACTCATGGCCTGAAGTTTGGAAAACACTGTTTTGGGAGACTAGAGAGGGAGAAATGACCCCAGCCTTCCTTGGTCTCAAGGATGATATAGGACTTAATCCTGACCAGTAGGCTGAGTAAAATTAGGGCAAGTCTGAGGACAAGGAAACACAAGAACATAACATGCAAAGTGGGTGAGTTAGAAATGCAGGTAGGACACTCCGGGGACAGCACATGGAACAGCTGGTGGTGCCACCTGGCCAGGCGTTGGACAGCTGGCAAGTCTAGTGTCAACGGGAAGGTAAAGGAGCCCACATTCAGGCCTCTCCCTCACGTGGGCCCCCGAGTGCTGGGAGTGCTCAGAGCTACAGAATGTTCTAGTTGGGGCAGGAAAGCCAGAATGTGATCAGGAAACCCTGCTAGTCAACTACTGATATCTCATCAGAAAGGCCCTGAATCTCCAAGGCATCAAGAATTTATGATTTTTTTGTCTCATTCATACTTAATTTTATATTATTTTTCTTACAGAGTCCCCCACTGCAAAATTCTATCATATCTCAAAATTCTAGTTATAGGGTGGCCCCTATAACTGTTGTGATAGTCCCCCACTGAATGTAAAGTCTTCCTTACTGTCTTTAAAAGATGCCATGAATAATTTTTTCTTTAACAATGCTGTGCCTTGAGTCTCAGTTTTCTCACCTGGAAAATAAAGTTGTTGTGATGTCCAAGCTTTTAAAACTCCATGCACCTGGTATATTTTGCTGTTTGACTCACATCCAGGCCAGGCTACTTCTCATATTTGCTGAGTCAGTTACTCTCCATCTGTCCTGGGTGGAAAGTTTTAGAAACAAATAAACATGTTTCAAAATCATCTGATTCAGCATTTCAAAGCAAAATCTGAATTAAGAAAAATATCCATGTCTGTGTCTTAACACAAATAGTGGAGGATTGACTGTATTTTGTTCTTCATGTCTTTGTGAACACTAACTTGGTTTGGAGTAAATTTTTAAATTGTAAATTATTTGGCTTGATTAAGTACATATATATGTCTCTAGTGAGTTTAGACAATGTACAAATATATATATATATTCCACTTATACTCAAGCCAGATACATGCACACATAATATTAATCTCTCTGTGCACACAAATACGTATATTTTATGGAGTTTTATCTAATCTGGACATCTCCGAGTGTTGGGAACTGACTTGGGTGCCATGTTTTATTTTCTATGAGAATAGCCTTCAATTTTGAAATAAATTCCAAAGTTGAGAGACAATTCTAGTTAACACAAATGTTAATCCAGCTGGGCGAGATGGCTCACTCCTGTAATCCTAGCAGTATGAGAGGCCAAGGGGGGAGGATCACTTGAGGTCAGGAGTTTGAGACCAGCCTGAGCAAGAGTGAGACCCCCCAACTGTACAAAAAAAAAAAAAAAAAAAAGAACAGAAAAGAAAAATTAGCTGGGCATAGTGGCTCCTGTCTATACGCCCAGCTACTCTGGAGGCTGAGGCAGGAGGATAGCTTGAACCTAGGAGTTTGGGGTTGCTGTGAGCTATGGTGATGCCACTGTACTCTAGCTGGGAGGACAGAGAGAGACTCTGTCTCAAAAAATAAATGTTAATCCTTCTTATGATCACTCGTTGAAGGTTCTGTCTCTATGTTCCAGTGCCATCTTTATAATATTCCATTTCCTGAGACTATTCCCCATGCCTAGGAAGAAGAAGTGATATTTCAGTTGAAGTAACAGACAGGCCATGGTGCAAGTCACTTGAATGTCCATATATCCTGCATGTCCTACATGGCACCACTTGAATGTTTCTGCCCTTCAAACCACTAATGGTTCTCTAATATGTCAGAAGAAAGGATGCCAACAGATAGGCATGAAGGTTGTTTAAATTTTATTTTAAAAGCAAAGAACATGAAGGATTCTATAGCCAAGTTTTCAGCTTCATTATTGATAACAAATCTGTTTAGTCACAAAGTCTAGAGATTTCCTTATAGACCCTTAAACAATAACAGTAGTATTGAACAACAATGGTGTGTTGCCTGTTGAAAAAATATACAGTGTGGAAAAGCAAATATATAAAGTTTTTCAGTGCAGAGGTTAAAGGTTATTAGTCTGTCAGTCAGCACACATGAATTTAATTAATGCAGCATTTATTAATACATTGGCTATTGCATCTCATGTGAAAAATCACTTCCTTAAACAGTGTTGCGATACTGATGATGTCTCTCTACAGTTTACACTAGCCAGAGGAAAGTGATAGGTAAAAGATGGGAATAGCCACAGCATTGAGGGTGTAGAAATTGAGAATTCCTAGAAATAATTTACAGTCTCCATCTTACAAGCTAAGCAAAGAGGATCTCAATATATCGCGTTTGCCTTATCTGACTCTTGAACAATAACACCAGGAGAGAGTCCTTATTGACCCCACCTTGCAGGTCGTGTGTCTGAGGGTCCGAAACATACCCGTATCCGTGCTAAAACTCACATCCACATTCAGGTCCATAACTGGAGCTCTTTACCCTGAGCTACTTCAAGTGTCATGGGATGCCAAAGAAGTGATTTCGATCTCTTCTTTTTTCGCCATATGGTTTATATCTCTCATATCATGTCTCCTTGGGGAATCACAGACATTTGCTGTCTCTCAAGGCTTGAGAACCTGAATAGCAAATGCAGAGCAATTGCCAAGTGATGGGTATACTCTTTACCTACAACACATTATGTTACAATCTTTATGTAATGAAATGCTCATGGACCGTGTCCTATATGTCTAACAGAGAACGGACAAGGGTTATAAACAGACATTTACATCTTGGATCTGTCTCAGGAGCTCTCTAGCAGTGTGATCATCAAGACGCTCTGATACAGGGAAATTCTTTGGTGTCCCCTAGGATTTTGCAGCCATTGCCCCAGCAGCCCGTAGAGCCACTCAGAGGGGCTTACAGAGAGACGGATGTGGTGAGACCCCCAAATGGTGCCGAGGGGAAAAGGGACGTGGGGGAACAGAGCATTCAAAGAGACTGCAAAGTCCGAGGACATTTAAAAAGCCTTTAAAGCATCAATATGTGAGACATCTGGCTCTGTGAACAAGTCATTTTATTTTATATTCATTTGTGTGTATTAATGTTACATACTGAACATGAGTTAAGATCTGTCAATAAGAACTGGAAAATTCAGTCTTGTTTATACAACTGCTCTTGATCTTGCTAATATATAAACTGAAATGCAGGAGGGAAGCTAGCGTTTTTTGATCACCTACTATAGGATGGGCACCTTGTATATACTTTATCTCATGAAATCCTCATGGCAACCTAATGAAATACTTATTTTTGTAGACATTTTGCAGGTGATGAGACTGAGTGCAGAGGGGCTAAGAAATGTGCCCATGGCTACGCAGTTTTTACATGACAAAAGGAAAGCCTGTGTGTCATAGTGATGCCATGTCATCTTCCCGCTGCCTGTCTCTGAGAGGGGAGATTGCACTTCTTAACAAGGGCCCATCTTTAATCAAGAGTTTGAGAAAAATGACATTGCAGTGAAAGGTATAAGCTTGCATATAGATTAAAAACTGATCATATCTCTAGGTAGAATTGCCAAATGTGTAGGGCAGTGATTTCTGTAGATGTCAGTTAAAATTATTTTTTTCAGACAGGGGTTCTTTGCCCCTAAATGGTTCCAAAAATTCTTCCCAACACAAAATATTAATAAGAAGTGATTTATTATACCTCTGAGTATGTTCATTTTCACTCATCCCTGTTTTTAAAAATAATATCTTATGGGAAAGTACAGTGTCATTTAGTACAAAATTCTCATTAAGTCAGTTCATGTTGTATTAGGTGACATTTTAGGACTTTCAGATAAGGAATCAATGGCTTTCACACCAGAATTCTCATTTTAAGTAGTCATCAATTTTTCTTACTTTAAAAGTTTGTTAATGGAAAATGTTGATCAAGTCGTTGAAAGTTGATAAGATATTGGGAGAGAAGAGGGATTTGTGGGAAAATAAAGTGGGTATATATTATTGATGTTTTTCACTTTGAGAAAGTTCCTGACATTAAAAAAAAAAAAGCTCTCTGTTGATAAGTGCATTTTTTTTTCACTTTTAGATTCGATGAAAAAAGGAGGTTAAGAAAAAAGAACTTTAGAGGTGAGTACATGGAGTATGTAACCCACACACTGTGGTTTGCACCCTTAATATTCTCAAAAAGTTTCTGTACCTCTTCCCCATAATTATCAAAGTAGAGGAGTCTTTCCAACTTAAGATGTTATAAATACAAAATAAAGTCAATGATTAGTTTATTCTATCTTTACCTAATGTTAATACTAAATCACTAATTTTTTTAAAAAAATTAGCAACCAATGATTCTCTGTCATAGCTTTTGTTCAATCGTATTTAAGAAGTTAGAATTTAAACAATGGCCGAACATATGTAACTTGCATTTAGGCAATTATTTTTAGTTTGTTTTAATAAACAAAAGTGATGAAAATTCTACCTTCCACTAGTTTCTAGTGCCGAACAGCCACAGGGAACTTCAGGGTGGCTTAACCCTTTGTGGAAATGGTGCGGAGTGAGCAGCTCAGAGATTCCCAGGCTTCCTGTTCTTTCTTCGTTCATGTTCGTCTTTTATCAGATCTTCATTGTGGGTATTAACCAGGTTAAAAATAACCAACGCTGGGGCCGTTTCCTTTCCACGTCAAGGTCTCCAGTGGGAACGAGCATCCTTGTAGAGTCACTCCCTTGCTCTGCCTGTATATCTACTTCATTTAGCTGAAGCAACAAGTAAAAAAATAGTTAGGGAAATAAATATGTTCATTTGCTTTATTCACACCCAGGGCTACTGTATAAAAATAGATACTTTCTTTCTGGTCCTTATTGTGTTCATCTGTGTGCTTGTCAAACATATGTTGACCCTTTTAAGTGTTTGAAGGCATCTACCCTGGACACTAAGGGAACAATGTCCCATGTTTTCAAGGGTACATACATTGAATTACAGTTTGGTTCCAGGAAAAATAACATTCCTTTAAAACTCTTGTTTTATACACATTAACAGACTTTAAAAGAGAAATGTTAAAAAACATTTTGAGGAAGAGCTATAATTTTGGAATACACATTCCTAGGGCCACTTTCAAAGGAGAGCAATTATTATCATGTTGGAGTTCTCCATTTGATATTTTTTACAGTCTTGCTGCTTAAAGTGTGTCCCGTGGACCAGCTACATGCCACCTACGTGGGCATGCCCTGGGAACTTGTCAGAAACTCAGCCTCTCACATCTACTGTATTAGAGTTCAAGGCTTAACAATATTCCCAGGTGATCTGCAGACAGACTAAGGTTGGAAGGGCACTGTTTTATAGTCTCTCTACATTATTGTCCCACCATGTTCTTACCTGTAAATGTTTGAGGTCATTACACTCATCATAACGTGATGTGATTCTCAACTGTACATGCTACTGACAATGTGATTCTTTGGCACAGTTATTATTGGCCCAGGTAGATGGAATTTTAATCAACTCCTCTAGTATTTATCTTGTGTAACTTGTAACTCCAAGTAAAGCCGACCGCAGAGGTTACCACTTTACCACTATGGGAAGCCACTATCGGAATGTCCTAGTTAAAGCAAATAGTTGGTATTGATAACAGCCTTCGGGGTTTGGGGATGGCTTCTTGGGAATCATAAACATCCCGATGGCTTGTGCCAAACCTCAAGCAAATGAGAGCATGGCTCCTTGAGCATTACCACTCTTGGGGACAGTTTTTAGTTTAAACTATCTTGCTAAATAATTCAACCAAAGAAAGGTCTCAGCTCATCCACAGAAAAATAATTGCAGTGGAAGTATTTCTCTTTTCACAGAAAGAGGACGGAGAACGTGTCATTGTTGGTATTAACCAATCGAGGTACAAACCATTCTTTACTCGGTGGCACCACCACAAAGTATTTGGAAATCTGCCTCCACCCACAAACTGCTTAATGGGAAAAAAGTCATTTGCTGCCAACCCACTGTCTGAATCTGAGTTTTTATGACTGTACTTCTCTGCCCGGTAATCTGGGTGCAAATGTGGCCCCGATTCTCTCTCCTGCTTTTTTGTTTCTCTGAACCAGAGCACATGCGAGCTTAGACCTTCAGGCTCTTGAAACCAACGTGCCCATTTTGATTGAACAATCTCCGTTAGCCCAGTGACGCTCTGCAGATGTTTCTGTTTGGTTCTTAGTGGACGTCTGAGCTGGTTCTCCGAGGACTGGAATGGCATTTTGCCACCCTGGAGTGAATTTTTGCCTTTCTTGCTGACATTTTAAGTAGACCGCTGGGTGTGGGCTGCTGTTTCATTTCCCAACATGCTCGGTGCAATTACTCTAAAATATTACAAATTCTGTTTGTGGAAAGGGTGAGGGTTTTGGCTCCAGAGCCTAATGCTCTCCAGGGGACAGTGTGAGGCTGAGCAGAGAACAAAAGCACTGGCCCGGTGGAGGGGTTGCGGGTGAGTCCTTGGAGGTCTGGGCAGCCCGGTCGATTCCTGTCAGTGCCTGGAGAGTGCCATGCGTTTCCAGGACTCAGTCTCCCTGCTGAGGAGGGCCATGCCACGTGGGCAGAGCTTCCCAGAAAGAGATGGCAGGAGGAACCAGGAACCAGGGGAGGATGACTTTCATTTCATAGTAATGCTTTGGCAAAATCTGTGTTCACAATGTCTCTTTTTCATGGTGCCACCATGTTGTTAAGTTGTAGCTCAATTTTACAAGGGTTCAATGGTTTATTCCTATCTTTTTTTTTTTTCTTCCAAGTCTAACCAATGGCTGCCTGAAGAATGTGACTGGGAGAGGTCCTTGTGAGCACAGCTAACACAGATGACAAACCCTGGTTTACATTCTTCAGGGTTTCCCAACCCAGGGCCAAGCAACTTCAAGTCTAGGTGTTAGAATTTTTGAATATGATAATCTGTTCTCTTCTAACAGTGTGTTTCCATAAAGTCTGAATCCATTATAGTGGTATTTTCTAACCAAGAAGGGAAAAGCAAAGATATAATGTGAAGGTGATGACATCAATAATCATTGAACAAACAAAAGTCGCCAGGGGTTGTAGCTGTTGCTTTTCAGTTTGCTTCTATCCCAGGGTACTGTTACTCCAGGTTAACTAGTTTTGAGGCAAGCTTGCTTTCACTGTGGAAGGGGAGACAATTTGAGTCATATGGTGAAATTTCACCCAGGGTGTAGCCCTGGCCAAGGGGGTGGGGAATTTTGGGGGAAGATATAAGTTACTGCAGTACCATCAAAGGGAGATAGGGGATTTCTGGGTAATTAGAAAACGTCTGTAGATGTGAAAGCAGATGCCAAGGAAAGAAACTGACTTGGTTCCAAATTAAAGGGCAACTGGCAAAAATGCAAATTCAAACTACACTGAGATACCATTTCTCAACCATGGGATTGGTAAACGTGAAGAAGCTTGACAACATACTCTGACAGTGAGGCTGGAGAAGTGTCACTTTACACCTTGCTAGTGGGAACGCAACATGACGCAACACCTGTAGAGGGGGATTAGGCAATATCTAGAAAGAGTGCTTGTGGATTTACTCTCTGAACCAGCAATGCCATTTCAGGCAGACAATCTTAAAGATACTGGTAAAATATTAAGGCATATTTGCACTAGATTATTTACTAAAACCATATTACTCATAATGGTGTATAATCACAGAAGTCTAGAAACAACCCAGATATCCCTCAGTGGGTTGACTGGTTGGATAAATTTTACAATGAAAGAACTATAAAAAGGAATGAGAAAGATACCGTGTCACGAAGAAATCTTATAGATACATTGCTACGATGAAAAAGAGTGTGTTTAGCATTCTGTGTAAGAAAGGAGGAGAAACATAAATAGACATTTACACATGCTTAGATATTTTTTTAAAAAAAGAACGTGAAGAATGATGAATATAATACATAAAAAAGTGGTGACAAAGGTGGACATTAGACCTTTCTGAATAGGTGATGTTATATACATTTGACTTTGGAACCAGGTGACTATTTTATGCAACATTAAGCATCAGAACAATCAGACACAGTGAAACGAATGATCCCAACTCTGTAGGAAAAAAAATTATTTCATATGACAGGACAAAAATTTACCTGTACAGCCCATGTGGAACACACCCTAAGGGTAGGGCGCACAGAAAAATCTTCTACTGCTGTCTGTAGTTGGTATTGTTATTTCAAAACAACTATAGAGATAAACATATGAGTATATTGTAGGATAGGGAAATAAGTAATTTTGTGAATGACATCAGGAAATAAGATTTCAGCGTGGAGATACAAAACAAAATCAACGAATCAAGTAAAAGTCTTGTACTTTTTCACTCCAATTCAAAATATCAATGAACCCAGGATGTATTTTTATCTTTCTTGGAAATACAGATTTCCTAGCTTCCTCACACTGGAAACATCACAATGTCTATCAACAGCTAAATGGATAAACACTATGGTGTAGCCACACATTGAAAGACTACTCAGGATCAAAAGGAACACACAGTCCATGACAGTCCACGCAGTGACATGGTTGGACCTCACAGATATTACACTGAGTGGAAGAAGTCAGGTACAAAAGACCACATTTTATATGACTCCATTCATGGGGAGTTCTATAAGAGATAAAACTACGACAGAACATGGATAAGTGGTTGCCTGGGGTGAGAACTTGTAAGAGAGGAATGCAAGAAAGCCAAAGGGAAGCTTCTGGGATGAAGGAAAATGTTCTATGTCTTAGCAAAAGTGTGAGTTTCATGAGTGTATGTATTTTTCAAAACTCCTCAAATTTTATGTTTCTGCATACAGATTTAAGGAATATGTTCTGATATTCAGTAGCAGAGTAGGGTGACTATAATTAACGATTATGTATTGCATATTTCACAATGGCTAGAAGAGAGGACTTGGAATGTTCCCAACACGTAGAAATGATAAATACTCAAAGTGTCAGACACTGCAAATACTCTGACTTGATCATTACACATTCGATGCATGTAACAAAATAGCATATGTATCCCATAAATATGAACAAATGCTATGAATCAATGAAAAAAAAGTTTAAAAACTTTGTTTAAAATGTGTACATTTAATTGCATGTAACTTATACATTAATACATTTGATTTAAAGAAAGACAAGA